CAACCCCCCCACCACCACACACACACACACACACACACACACACACACACACACGCGCACACACACACAAGGCAAGCATTCGCGCACGCGTGCACCCGCAGGCCGCAGAAAGCCGTTGGGCCGCAGAAGGCCCCTCGCCTCCAGAAACGTGCTCGCTGGTTCGCCAAGTCGACAGTTCATGGGTGATTCATCAACGACAACTGAGCACATCGCCCTCGTTCGCGCGCACTGGCTCATCCTCACGGTGCAGAAACCCTCCTATACTATCACTGTATTCTCCTTTCACGTCAGCAGGTAAGCAGATCGACATTCACGCGAGAAGCAGAAAAAAACAAAGAGCTGCAAGTGTGTGCGTCTGTGCGGCAGTGCCGGGCTGTATTCGGGGTTGGAAGGGAGGGGGGGGCGCGAGCGGGGCGAGAGGGCGGGCGGGACGGGGGGAGAGGGGAGGGGGGAGGGGGATTAGGGAGGGGATGAGAAGGCGCAGGAGGGTGGCAACACGTGTTTACGACAGCCTGACTGCCCGCTTTTTCATTGACTGATGCGCCCGAAGAATAAAGGGGGGTAAAGGAAGGAGAAGAGGGGAAGACGCATCAGCACACCTACCCGAAAACTCTGCCTCGCGCTCGTTAGCGCCTCCCTCCTGAGTCTCTCTTTCGCCGACTCTGGCGTTGGCGGTGGCGGCAGCTCCTCCTTCCCCCCCACGTCATGCGTCGTTGAATTCTCGGCGATTATAATGAACACGGCGTGACTTCTACTCGACAGCTCGTTCGCCTTCGTCGACCCCGTTGCCCTCTGCATTGCCCCCCTCTCCATCAACCCGTACACCTCCGCTGGCGACCGTACCACCCATTCCGACAACCCGTCCACATACACCCCCTTCTTCTTGTCTTCCCGTATCGACATGTTAGTCCTCTCTGGCTTCAGCAAATCCGAAATGGCTTCGTTGTATATCTGCAGGTACGCCGCTCGCACTAAGTACTTGCTGCGCGCCGTCGTGTCGTTCTCTATGTAATTAAAGATGTCCTCAATCGATCTCGGGATGATTCCCCGGTGCTCGGGTGTTGGCCGCCCCTCCATCGTGTACGTCTTCCCTGTTCCTGTCTGACCATACGCGATAATCGTAGCATTGTAACCTTTCAGGCAAGACAAGACCGCCGCTTTGGCGGAGGTATCGTACACAGTGACTTGAGCAGACGATTGATCGTACACGTGGTCGAAAGTGAATGTGTGGGTGGAATAAACAGTAGAAGAAGCCTCTGCACCCCCAGATCCCCCCCCCCCAGCTTGTGAACTAGTACCCTGCGCAACATTCTCAGAAACTGAAATCATCCTATTCTCCTGAACAGAGATGATACTCAAGAATTGCTTGTTCTCAAGCTCTCTTTCGATGGGTGGACGTACGCGGATCACCACTTTGAAATTCTCATTAGAACCTGATGAATGGCCCTCCCCCGAGTCCCTCGGACTGATATTAGGAGAAGTCTCGTTCTTCTTGCCGTCAGAGAATCGTTTGTCCCCTTTATCGTCCCCGCCGTCTGCCTCCTCTACAGCGTCCCCTCCCTCTCTGGATCGTGACGCCGCCCCTTTCCCTGCCATCGAGCCCCCCTCCCTCCCCCCTGCCTTTCTTCCCCCCAACACCCCCAACGTCTGCGTCTATCTGATTTGTGTATATGCGTATCTGGGGTAGGGTGGGGGTGGGGGGGCGCGGCTCGCGCGCGCGTTGGTATGATTTTGCGTAACGATTTGCTGGCAAGGGCTTTGGAGAGGTGCCCTCTGCGCAGATCAGGTGTACAACCCAACCGGGAGAAGCCGATCCAGACTCGCCCTTCAGATAATCAGGTCCAGTAAACCCACACCCCAAATCCTCTCTCTCTCTCTCTCTCTCTCTCTCTCTCTCTCTCTCTCTCTCTCTCTCTCTCTCTCTCTCTCTCTCTCTCTCTCTCTCTCTCT